GATTTTGAACATGACAACACTGGAGGGACCTGCAGGGGAGCCTAAGACCACTTAAATGCTGAAACACCAAAATAAAACTCCAGAGTTGTTGCTAAGAGTCTCTGCTGCCCTCCTGTGGTCCACCTTGATTGCATGCAGTTTTAAAAAATCTGCTGAGTGAGCCTAACCTGACACCACAGTAATCACTGTGGTTTGAGTTTTAGCTTCTCCTCAACATCTGCAGCTGCACTGCATGTTAGGTCAAGCCCTTGGTTGGTATTTTGTTTGTTGAATTGCAGTTTGCACAGATTAAATTGCAGTTTCAGTTCATGTTGTTTCTGATTTTGCTGGCATCGACGTAACCTAAGTTGCCCTTTTACTGTAGGCTTTAGCTGAGTCATATTGTGGCTCTGCTGTAAACACCCTTTGTTGTTATATTAAATTACATCCACATAGCAGATCCTTATCTAGAGATGTTCTATATCCTTTTCATAAATTCGACCATGACTGATGAATCCTTTGATATATTCAAATGATGAACTCAGGGTAGAGGTAGAATGATTTTTACTCAGTGTATTTTTCTCAGAGACCGTGAAAGACTTTCCTTTGCAGCCTTTTATTATAGAGTTTGTGCTATCCAGCACACAATCATATATTTATGCAAAGAGTACATACAGTAAGAAAAGGTTTATTGCGAGTTTGAACTTTTACTGTACTTTTGCACATGGGTAAAAATGAGAAATCCTTCATTACATGATTTTTTAAAAGTACCATTAAAGACACCCTCTAGTGAAAACAGATTTTTTTTTTTTTTACCATGCGAACATGTCCGTATGGTGTTTTATATATATATCTGTTAACAGACCTACCATGAGGGCAATAAGCCTGCAATGCCATGGCAAAGTAGTCCATCTTTAAACTGCAATGTATGGATGACAAGCTCAGACTTTCTGGGATCCATGTGGAACAAAATCCTAAGAAACCAATACTGTCACCTTGAAGGGTGTTGCTGTCTAGTCATTAATCTACTTTAAACATGTACGGCTGAATTACTCCAAATTATTTTTTAAAAATGGCATAGTATTTTAAAGTAGTTTTACAGTGTTTGAACAGAGTTGGAGGTGAGCTGGTCTGCTTGAGCTGCAGTAAATCAGAAGTCGTGGGTGGCGAGAGAGGCAGGGATTTTATAGATCTGACATTCTGGGAGAAGCAGAGGTAGTGCATAAGCCGTTTGAAGACAGAAAGGTATTGTTTTCGTGTAAAATAAACTTGTAATTTGGATGTATGGAGTTGAGTTTTTCAAAATTTAATCAGTGATTAGTATGTATTAAAGTTATGTAAATCAGTCCAGTGAAATTTCTTAGCAACTGAAAAGCTCTGCAATGGATTAAAAAAATGTACTGCCCCAGTAGCTCAGCTAGTTGAGCAGGTGACTCATGTATAGCCATGATAGGGGCAAGCCATGGGTCAGACTCGATCCACGGCCACTGCCTTGGCCTTGGATCGAGTCTGACCCATGGCTGATTTGCTGCATGTTCTTCCCCACTCTACTCCCTGCCTTTCCTGCCCCTCTTCACTAACCACTGGAATAAAGGCATTAAAAAGCCCCCCCCCAAAAGAAACAACATGATAAATAAATAATGCATTCCTACATTTGCTCATTTGCCCAAGCTCTAAAAGACAGCAAAAAACTATATCTCCATCCATTTCAGCACGTCCATCCATTTTCTATACACCGCTTAATCCTCACGAGGGTCACGGGGGGGCTGGAGCCTATCCCAGCCGACTTAGGGCAAAGGCAGGGGACACCCTGGACAGATCGCCAGTCTATCACAGGGCTACACTTAGAGACAGACAACCAAGCACACTCACATTCACAGCTATGGACAATTTAGAATCACCAATTAACCTCAACATGTTTTTGGACCTTAATAGAATAAGTCAAATTAAAATACAACTTTATGATTACATTTAATTAAACAATGGGAAACACCAAAGTGACATTAATCCCGTTTTTAATATAAACAGTAACATCTAATACTTGGATCCCAATTCCAAGAATAAATGTAAGTTACCACTGTTTATCACAGTCAAGTCTCATTGCTGCACACCAAGCATCAGCTTTTCTCCACCTCACCAGGAGAAGTAATTGATTTTCTTATATCTCACATCATTTCTTCAAAATCCCATTCCCACAGGTTATGACCAAGTAGCACCACAGTGACAGTGGTGTAATTCATCACACCGCGGGAATCACCACCAACAAAACCTAAATGTGT